TGGGAAATCAAATTTGGATCTACCCCCCCCCCCTCCAACCCCTCCCATTGGCACCGCAGCCACCAGAGCCGAGCGGGTGTCCTGGGGGTCTCAGGATGACAGGGGGGTCTCCTTCTGTGGCTGCTGTGCTTGTGAACGCTGCATCACCTTCTGGCTCTCCACGTCTCGGAAGTGCTTCTCCACCTGCGGCAGGGAAACACGGATGGAGGGGATGGGAAGAGGGGGTTAGGGGGGGGGAGGCCCATAACGAGCTCGGAGTCCCCAGGAACACCCACACCCTCCCATACTCACTATCTTGCGTACGTGGCTCAGCGCGCTGCCCTCTTTGCCTTTGCAGTTTTCCACCTGGTAGGGGGGGGCGATGACAACTTCCTCCATCACAACGATGTTCTTCTCCTGCCATTTACAGTCTTTAATGCTGCGGGGAAGGGAAGGAGGATCAGGGACACCACAGGGGGCTCTGGGCTGTGTGTCACCCCCCAGCCCCTGCACATGCTACCCTTTGTCCCCAGGCAGCCCAAGGGACCTGCTCTGGGATACGGGGAATTCCAAGGCCCTGAGGAGGGGACTTACGTCTTGTGGATGGAAAAAAAAGCCCCTCCAGCGAGACCCCAGCACTGATTGCATAGGCCTGGCTCAGCTTCTCCTCCTTCTCCGTCCGCGCTTTGTTGGCGAGCTGGAGGGGACACACGGGAGAGGGGTCCTGAGCATCACCCATGGACATGGGCACCCCCACAGGCAACCTCCCCCTCCACACCCATATCCACAAGGATTCCAGGCCATGGTTCAGTTCCTTTTGGGGTCAGTGTCCTCTCGCGTTCTCCTGCTCGCCTGGCTCAGCTTCTCCTCCTTCTCCGTCCGCGCTTTGTTGGCGAGCTGGAGGGGACACACGGGAGAGGGGTCCTGAGCATCACCCATGGACATGGGCACCCCCACAGGCAACCTCCCCCTCCACACCCATATCCACAAGGATTCCAGGCCATGGTTCAGTTCCTTTTGGGGTCAGTGTCCTCTCGCGTTCTCCTGCTCCAGGCACAGGGATGAAGCATCTCCAGGGCTGGATGAAAAAGCACCACCTTTCCCAAAGTAATTCCTGCCTTTAAATCCAAATCATGTCCCAGCGCTGGCTCCCTGCTCGGGACAGGAAAGCTGAGCCCAGAATGACCACGAACGGGTCAATGTATGAGCAGCTTCATCCTGGAGCAGTTCTTCTGTTCCAAACCCCAACGTGTAGTATTTGGGAATCACATCCAGCTTCCAAACTGCATCTGAGTCCCCCCACATGCTCCTTCAACAATTTCCCAAGCCTCAGGATGCTCCAGCAGTGGTGGGAACAGCCCTGGGAGGAGCTGGGTGAACAGAGGCCACCACTAGGAGATGGAGAACCTGGAGAGGAGCGGGATGAGAAGCAGCTCCTGGACCCCAGGATCAGATATGTCCCTGCAATGGGATGTGCTCTCCCAATCCATCACCGACACCTCCACATCACACACACCAAGCCTCCAACTTCCAGCATTTCCAATTCAAGGATCCACGGCTTCACCCCCTGCAGTGAGCATCGGAAGGCAGCAGTATCAGCGAGGAGACCTTGTGTGCCAGCAGCATGGATGAGAGATCCCCATCCATGGAATGATGGGGAAGTCATCATCCCCATGTGGTGAGGGGCACTGAGCACCCCTCCTGCAGCAGCAGCATTCCTGCCCCTTCCACAGATCCCCAGGGCTGGATCCTGCTGTGTCCCAGCTTTGGGTCCCACTGTTCCCTCTCCATAGGACCAGGCAGGGCTGAGCAGCTCCTGGGGGTCTGCCCACTCTCTGGAGCACCACGAGCATTCCCATGTGCCAAGAGCTGCATTCCCAGCTCTGGAGCCTGTATCCCAGTCCTGCAGCACCAGCAAGCCCAGCCCGGCTCCTCACCCATGGCGGAAGGGATGAGCAGAGCACCCTCCTCGCTGCACAACTGCCTCCCATGCAGTGTTTTCCCACATCCTAATCCATGGGGAAGGAGACCAAGGGGTGCCTGGATGTGACACTGACCTGCCTGCCAGGAGGGGTGTCCCCATGAGACGAGGTGACAACTGAGACCCCAGTGCCAGGCCGCACTCTCCCTTTTCCCAGTAGCACCCTGGGAATGGGAAGGGATGCCCCTGCAGGAGGAGGGGAAGCAGCTCCTCAAAACCCAACTGGCTGGACCCAGCTCTCTCAGCCTGTCCTGTGCTCATCACCGCCTCCTGAGGGTGCTCGATCCCATCGGCCACCTCCCTGACACAGATGTTGAATGGGATCGATCCCAACACCGATCCCTGAGGAACACCGCCTGTCATTGATCTCCACTTGGACATGAAGCCATGGACCACAGCTCCAGATGTGCCCATTCCTTACACACCGAGTGGTCCCTCAGCTGAGCATCCAAGTGATGTGCTGACCCCTGCTCCAGCTCCATCCTCCCTGCTCTCCGCTGGTGAAACACAAGGATCCAGGAGGAAAAAAATCCGCAGCAGGAAAAGGGCATTCCCAGCACTGGGAGCAGCTCTTACCTTGCTGACATTGAGGGAAGCCAAGGGAGGGGGGGTTTCTGTGCGGTCATTGATTATTTCCACTTCTGACACATACTGTAGGTTGACAAGCAGGATGTCCGCGTGGTTGGGCTTCCCGCTGGAAGAGGGGCATTCTGAGGGAGGGAATGTTAAGGAATACACATCCCAATGGACACAGCTGCAGGCGGAGATGCGGAGTGGTCCAGGAGAGCACCCGGGTCCCAGGGTCCCTCCTCAGCCAATGGGGGGAGACCCCAACGCCCCTCGTCTCCTCTGGGATCCATTCAATGCTGCTTCAGCTTTCCCGGCTACATCAGGCATTATCCCAGCCTGGGATGCTGGGAAGAGCATCCCAACAAGCCATTTAGTCCCAAGTGCTGAGCACAAGCACCAACAACCAGCACACCTCAACCTGCACCTTGGGAACCATGGATGGAGGGAGCAGAGAGCTAAGAGTGTGGAAAACCCCATGGAATGGGATGGGAGGGACCTTAAAGCTCCTCCAGCTGCGGCCCCCCCTTTCCCTAGAGCAGGCTGCTCTTGTCCCACCCCTTATTCCTTGGGAGCAGGGACCAACTCTGGCCTGTCCCCTATGGGGCTCCCCCCC